TCTAATCTTCTTTCCTTCCATCCATCCTTCCCTTTTCTCATCTCCTTCCCTCCTTTCTTCCATCATTCCCTTCTCTCATCTTCCTTCCTTCCCCTTAAATTGCAATATCCTTGGTACGTTGTGCACAGTTTTAGAGAGGAGCCAACTTGGAACCTCCTCATCCAGGCTAAACATTGGAATTCTGGGATGTTTCGCACGGCTTTTCCCAATATTTTTGAGGTTTGGGTCAGGTCCGTTCCCTTTCACCACCCACCCTGGCGTTCAGGTGCGCAAAACTGTTGTGAAGTTCAGCTTCTACTTTCTGTTTGGCTTGCAAAATTGCCCTCTGGATGTTCGGGAGGTCCCACTCCGTCCTCAGCAGGGCATCGTCCAGCACAAAGACACCGTCACGTACCCGCCTCACTTGGCTGCACACCGCCGTGGTCTTCAGCTCCAACCCGATCTCGTGAACTATCTTGCGGAGATACTGTTGGTTCTCGTGCAAGCAGTGAATTTCTGAGGAAGGCAGGAAAGGAAAGCCAGTCGCTCAGCCAAACTTAAAAGTTGTACATTCGTAATTACCACTTGGAGAGTTGACTGTGTCTTTAAAGCGGGGATCCCCAAACTTGGCAACTTTAAGACTTGTGAACTCCCAGAATTCCCCAGCCAGCCGTGCCTGTTTCTTTTTTCTCTTAACCTCCTAGAGTGCAGATTGCAGAGGAAGGGATTACAAGGGAATAAACTATGCTGGCTGGAGAATTCTGGGAGTTGAAGTCCACAAGTCTTAAAAGTTGCCAAGTTTGGAGACCTCTGCCCTAAAAGCCATGTGTTCCCTCTCCCTCCAGTTGTCTAAAATAATAATTTCAGGCTGGCCTGGCTAAGAAAGAAATAACCTCTGAGCCATTTAGGCATCTTACGGAAAACTTCCCATTCTTTTGTCTTTTTTAGCCCAATTCTGGTAAATCAGGTTTAATACTCGCTCTTGAGTTAAAAAAACATTCTTATTGGCCTCCTTTTTATTTCTTTGACTAGATGAATCAGGAATTTTAGCAGAACGTAGGTTCTGCCTTTAACTGCAGTATTTTCACCTTCCTTTGATGTGGCTGAAAATTCAGTACGGTGGACAAAGTGAAGAATCACCAGGTGTCCCATCATTTAAGTTCCAAGTTTCCCAACTTTGGCTTCTTTAAAATGTCTGGACTTCAATTTCCCAAATTCCCCAGCCTGGGGAATTCTGGGAATTGAAGTGCAGACATTTTAAAGTTGGCCAAGGTTGAGAAAAGCTGATTAACTCTAAAGCAATGCTGACTATTTTTGCAGCAACCCCGCTAGCAATCCACCCCCCCGCTCGTTCATTCCTTCCAAAGCCATCTTTTTTTTTTTCCGTTTGAAGTGACAGGAACAAAGTTTAAAGATTTAAAGAGGGTTCCGGAACTTAAATTTCCTATTTTTAAATAAAACAAGGGCACCAGTCTGCCTTACTCTTAAGAGTAATCATCATCATCATCCTTTAATGACCCCATAGTCTCTTGTGGAGTGGAGTCTGGGCAAACCGAATGAAGCTGAGTGTTTTCTGGCCGGATGCCCTTCCTGTCGCCAGGGTGGAGTTATATATTCAGCTGATCAATTCTCATTGTGCCCAGAGAGAGAAAATATCTGCCTCTATCTAGGATTGAACTCACAGCCTTCTGATTGTGAGAGGCAAAAGAGCTCCCACCTCTAGGCCACCGCGCCACTAAGAGAGAAGGCCATACCCAGCTGGAATTCAGGCGGTTCAAAACGGAGGCATCGCACTGCCGTGATCAAAGGGGGACTTTTGTTCATCGGCCGAATTAGGCCTTTCACCGCCAGCTCATAGGATTCTTGAGTTTTCAGGTCGAGGTTAGCCCACCTGGAAAAGGATGGAGATAAAAAAAACAGCAGCAGAATTATTTGGGAACAGACCAATCCGGGATGCGGGACCGGTGTCCTTTGACAGCAGGGGGGTCAAACTCACGGTGTCACATGACATATCGGGACTTTTCCCCCTTCGGCCTTGGAGGTCTTATAGTCCAACCCCCTGCTGAAGCAGGCGATCCTATACCAGTTCAGACACATAACTGTTCAGTCTCTTCTTGAAAAACCTCCAGTCATCCACAACTTCTTACGGCAAAGCTGTTGGTTAATCGTCATTATTAGGAAGTTCTTCCGGGTTGCTTCTCTCTTCGATTAGTTTCTATCCATTGTTTCTTGCCCTGTGGTGCTTTGGAGAATAATTTGATCCCATTTTCTTGGGGGCAGCCCCTCAAATACTGGAATACCGCTATCGCGTCACCCCTAATTCTTCTTTAGGCTAGCCAAACCCAAATCCCGCACCTGTGCTTCGTATGTTTTAGTCTCCAGGGCTTTAATCTTCTTCTAGGCCTGGAGACTAAAACATACGAAGAATGGTTGCAGGATTTGGGTGTTGCTGTTCTCTGCACTTTCCCCCCAAACTTCTGGATTTAAAGAGGACAGCGGTTAACAAATGCAGTGGTTCGCTTAGCAATTCTGGCTAAAAGGACATCAAAGGGATTCTTAGCCACCTTATTTACCAGCGGAAATTCTGGCCCCATGTCAAAGACCATCTGCATTGTTTGCAAAGGCTATCTGCAATATTTATATCCCTAAATAAATATGCACATCTCCTCCCCAACCCCCCAAACCCAGATTCTGGATTCCCTGCTGGAAAACTCCGGTTAACTTAACCCAACAACCCCAATAATCATGATTTCCTTTATTTACCGTGCCAAGTTTTGAGTGCAACAGCGAAGCCGCGGTTAGAATTGGAATTAGCTACTGGAATTTTTTTGGAGGAGAGCCAAGAGCGACAAGGGTTGCAACAAGGGTGTGTGCTATGGTTGCGAGAAGCCAGCTTTCCCTAACCTGGTGTGCCCCAGGTGTATGTTGGACTTCTGTTTTTCCCCGTCAGTCCCAGGCTGCACATTTTGCTGTGGAAAGGGTGATGGCAGCCACGACTGTCGAGTGGCCGCCAGTTAAAACGATCCGAGTTATAAAGTCTGCAGTGTTATATAGGTTTTCCTGCTTGAGCAGGGGGCTGGACTGGATGACCTTCAAGGTCCCTTCCAGCAGTATTCTATTCTAATTCAAGTTGGCACGGTTGCAACTTTACAGGTTACCACCTGGCCCTGTGTTTCACCTTTTTTAAAAACTTTTTTACAAGACTCCACGCTCGGTTCGAACATAGGAATATTTTAATTTCTGCTACATGCTGCGAAAGTCACTCCTGGCCTGAAACCACATTTCCCACCCAATCCACCCCTCCCAAAAAAACGATGTTTTGCCACCGTTCAGCCTCATCTCCCAACTGAGAAAATTTTGCAATTTGGGGGAACTAAATCAAATTTTTTTAAAAAATAAATTGGGACCCACGCAGGGGATAAGACCACTTCAATTCCCAGCCGTCGCCAACTTGGGCACAGTTCGTTTTATTTTAGTTTTAAGAGCCGTTTTCTGAGCTCGGCCTTCACTCTTTATCCATCGTTTCTCTTGATCGTTTTTCCTCTTCGGCCCTGCCAGGAGGGATTTGCGAAACCCTGCCCATTCCTGACTTGGTGCAGAACGGCACGGCTTCCCGATTCCCCCCGCGTCCCGAGTTTTAAGGCTTCTTCTCGTCCTCTCCCAAAGGGACGGAAGGCGGTAGTTCCTGCTGGGGCATGTTCTGCAGGAATTGCAAGAAATCTTCGGCCCGCCGATCCGCCTCGGTCTCGGAGCGCAAAAAGCACCAGAGGAGGATAGCCGCAAAGGTCAGGCTGATCAGCATGGCCCGCCAGAGGGGCTGCTGGTGGTCGCTGCCCATGGATTGCCGCGTGGTCCAGTGGCGGGGATTGGCAGGGCTCTTGGTGAAGCACAGCGGCTCCTCGCTCTTGGGCTCCTCGCTCTCTTTGGGCGGGCGGTAGCAACGCCGCAGGAGGAAGCCGCGGGGTGGAGGCGGCCTGCGAAGAAAACAGAAGGAGGTTGGTGAAAGCCGCTGTTGCCACCTCGCCAGGCCAACCTTCTTCCTGCCTCTCCAGCCAGAGTCTGTGGATTTCAAGACAGGGAGTCCTCGACTTACGAACGGTCACTTAACGAATGTTTGAAGTTACGTCAGAGCTACTTAACGACTCTTTCAGAGTTACGACCTCTGCACGGGTACACACCCATGGTCCCGGGTACGCATTTTGGGCACTCAGCACCCGGCTCGCCAATTTTTCCATCAGCTTTTGCCCATTTCCAGTGTTTTTTTTTTCCCTTCTTTCCGGCCCAGAAATGCGTTCGGTCAACGGCTGCTGCATTCGTTCACTTAATGACCGTTGTAAACAAAACAGTGGTGGCTTCCGATCTGATCCCGCGAGGCCTCACTCGTACGACTGCAGTGACTGACAGCCGTGAATTCCTGGCTCAGTTATGGTCATAAATGAAGAACTCCCAAGTGGCCAGCAGCGGGAAATTGACGTGGTCTAAAACTTGCGTGCACAATATAGATTCTTTCGCTAAGAAGTCCACCACACCTCAAGTCTTCGGTTTCGAAAGCTGCTCACAGTGGGCTTATTTTGTGTTAACGATCCTCAGGTAGAAAGGAGATTTTAGAGAGTTTCCCCCCCAATCTAGATCCTTTGCTTTTCTCGCAGACGCTTCATAACCCTAACTAGGTATCATCATCGCTAGCACTGATGCAATAACCTAGTTGGGTCATGAAACGTCTGCCAGAAAACCAGCAAGCTCAGAGAGCACCAAGGACCTCCCTCCTTTCAACCCTGAGCTACAAATATTCTCCTTCATTTAATCCTTTCTCTTCCTGGATGTTCCTACCTCTGGGCAGCCCGCTTGCATACCACCCCACGGTCAATTGCAATTTTGATACTCACTGTAGTAAAGCTTTGTGATTGGATCCCTGGATCACCGAAACAATCCGCTCCAGCTTCTCCTGCGTTACGTGATCTCCAAGGAAGAAGAAGACGACAAAGCAAGTGTTAAGTTTCCCCTTCCTTTGGTTTCCCCCATCTTTTCCCAAAGCAATTCAGAAAGTTGCAATCCTGAAAAAAAAATAATCACCAACTGTAGCGTGTGTCACCTTAGGTCCTCTGGACAAATCACTTACCGAATGTGCTTCTCTCAATCAGTTTGCCGGTGTCTGAGAAATCGTCGGTGGCTTTGCCGAACAAGCCGGTGACAGTGTATGCCTTTGAAAAGGAAAACATCCTGATTGCAAACACAGCGGATTGCAAAAACCCAGGGCAACAGTTCCTAAAAGCGGAATGTCATCCAGGAAAAGACAAACAGCCCAACCTATTGTTTTGGCCAGAAATTGTTCTTCTTTATATAAATGGCAAGAAAACCCCACTCCCTTCTAGCGCTGCTGACGTTACCTGGATGGGTGAGTGGATGAATGGAGAGAGACGGAGAGAGAGAAAGGGAAAGGTAGATAGATACCCTGTTTCGTAGAAAATACGACTGCCCTGAAAGTAAGTCTTAGCTTGAGTTTTACACGTGTGCCCAATATAAGCCGTACATCCCCTCCTCCAAAAAAATTCCAGAGTGCGTGGGTAAAGTGAGATTACTGGATGACATCCCCTGAAAATAAGACCTGGTGCCTTTTTGGGTGGCCAAAAAAATATAAGACAGGGTCTTATTTTTGGGGAAACACAGTAGATATAAAGATAGATAAGAAATAAAAATAAAGATATATATAGAGAGAGAGATAAAAGAGAGAAAGAGAGATAGCAATAACATTTAGAATTTCAGTGAGAACAATTAACCAGTAGAATGACTTCCCTCCACAATTTGAGGGTGATCCAACACTGGAGGTTTTTAGCAATAATAATAGCGCTTAGACTTATATACCGCTTTATAGTGCTTTACAGCCCTCTCTAAGTTGTTTACAGAGTCAGCCTCTTGCCCCCAACAGTCTGGGTCCTCATTTTACCCACCTCACAAGGATGGAAGGCTGAGTCAACTTTGAGCCAGCCAGGATCAAACTACCAAATTTCTGGCAGCCAATACTGCATTCTAACCACTGCGCACCACCACAGCTCATATCCTCATCCTAACCCTAAACATCAGAAATGGAAGGGAATGGCTTACCTTGGTAAGATGTGCGTTGTACCATTTTCTGAGCAACTTGGTGCCATAACCAACACCGAGCACTGGTGGAATAAAACACAAAACGCAAACAACTGAGAATTTAAAAAATCCCATTACTTCCTATCAACAGATTCTAGCAGCCGGATCAAATTGACTTTAAATTCATCCAGGTAGGAAGAATAACACAGAGAAAGTGGACCAAGAATTTTTTTAAAAAATTGTGCAAAATTGTAAATTCCTCATCCTAGAAAAATTCCGGATCAGCCCCAGATGGGAGAAGCTAAAAAAAAACCCCAATCCAATGAAGTGGAATAAACTCTTCTTAACAGGTTAACAGAAACATTTTCTAAAACCCCAACGAATTGCAGGAGAATAGTGATGCTCTGTTAAAAGCTGGCTGGTACATTTGACCAAGCCCCTTCCTCCCCACTTGAGGAATTTTAATACCTAGAGTTTCTTTTACTTACCGAAAACTCCCGAGGATTGCATATCCAGACGATCACCCACCCCAATTTTTAATTCCGTAAAAACCGGTCCTGAAACTGAACAGAAAACCAGCGTGGATTTTAACAGTGAAAGGACGCTTCCATTGTGCAAAGCAAAAAAAACCCAAACACCTCCTTTAATTGTTCTTTTTTTTTCTTGAAGTGCCCAAGCTAGTATTTTTTAAAGATGCCAGATGATCTCAACCACGCCGTTCAGCCCAAAAAGCGCAAATTTTGAAAATGTTTGGCTAGGTTGATTTCACACACTGAAAATATTCAGCAAACATTACTTAACAAAACACGACCGGAAAGGGTACATGTTTCTCCTTCCGGCTGGTTGCGTTGCTGGTCCGAGTTTTGTCTGGATCTCGATTTCTACAAATTGTTGTGGCTTGCCAGCTGCCGGCGGAGCTGGTGGCAGCATCGGACCACGAGGTCGGGGAGGCCAGTTCTGGAGACCGGGGAAGGCTCTCATGGAGGCTCTGCATCGGACTGCAGAGACAGAGCCAGGGCCGCCCGACATTTCCCAGCCACCGGAGAGGCAGCTGCCTTTGGAGGCCGATATGAGTGAGGAGGAAGAACAGATGGAGCCTGTTCCAGATGCGCGTATGCACAGAGCTGTTAGGAGAGGGGAACATCGGAGGACAATGAGCTAGACTCAGGAAGGCAAAACACACATGGACACTGAATGGCTCCTCCCTGGCTGGAGGAATAAATAGAAAATAAGTAGGAGACAAGAGTTTTGTCTTTCTGGAGATTTTGCTTCCTTGTGTTTCGTGCCACAGACGCTGCTTGCCAGAACTTAATTTGCAACCTTTGGGCCAGGAATTATCGCAAGGAATTGATAAGGTCTGTTGCTGCCATTAACTCTTGGAAGGACTCTTACCTGGACTTTTCTGCAGGTGGATGCAATTAATTCACAAGAGGTAAATAAAGGGTTTTTTTTCTGTGGCCAGGATTCTGTTCCTCGCTTCTGCTAAGGCCGGGTCAGAACACAAATTCTCTTCA